TGACCAACGGAGAGGGCGTGATGTGCCTTATATGTACATGCTCCCCTCCCTATAACACGAGGCTTTTTGGGAGCTCACTGGCTTCGGAGTTCATCGAAACTCCTTAGTTAAGCGAGTTTGGGTTAGAGCAATCTCAGGATGGGTGGTGACCCACTGGGAAGTTGCTTGTGAGTTCTCATAAATAAAATCGTGAGGGAATGGTAAGCCCAAAACAGACAATATCGTGCTACAACGGAGCCGGTCTGGGATGTGACAAAAATCCCCAAGTGGGTCCCATAAGGCACACAAAATAAGGCCCATAAAGCAACCATTTTAAAAATATCTTCCAACTCAGGTGAAATACCAAATTACCCTCTGTTCCAAAATTCGTAAAATTATTTTGGGACGGGTTGTTACAATTTTCCTCCTAGAATAATGATTGCATGAGACACATGCTAATCTTATCATAACAGGGATTCCCAAGATATTCGAGGATGCATACCTAATCAAGGTTTGATTAGGTTTCCCTTTCTTGGATGACAAGCAAGTCTTCCTTGAAGAGACAAATCTCCATTACCAATTTGGAGCCTATCAAAATGCCTTGCTCCAACAGCCCAATCCAGAAGACGTAACTCATATCACATAAGTTACTCCGGAATACAATGGCCTTTCGGGTTGTCTTGTGCACCACGTGTCAGGAAACTAAAAAATCATGGTCACAAAGACATCAATTTGCATCCACATAAACGTTACTAAGACCTCAATTTGCATCCACATAAACAATACTTGGACGTGTAATATTGTGACAATCTTGTTTACCTAGACTCGATCCCACTTCGGTGACCCAAAACCTTTAGCAACATAGCCCATAAAACTCAAATTCACTCCATATATCGGGGTTGGGTACAATTTGGTTGTGTTGTCTTCAGCTGAAATTAGGGTGTTGGACGTTTTGACATTTCAAAATGAAGAAAGAGAAAGCGAAGACATATTAGGTTTAGGTTAGAGAAGGGTGAAGCGTGAAGGACATTGAATTTTTCGACCATCATTTTTTTCCTTGTTCAGTTGAAATGGTTATGTTAGGAAAGGAAGAAGGGAGATGGGTGAAGACAATACAAAAAAGGAGATAAGAGACAATCAAGTTTATATATGTTAACCTATAAGTGCGAAATTTTATGTTTGAATTACGAGAAAATGACGTTCGAAAAGCATTAGGTTCTCACCTTAAAAATATAGCATCCCCCTGTGTGAGAGATGCACATGTCTTTTCATTTGCAAATATGGTATCTTGACCGACTAAAATCAAAGATCGGAACCGTTCAATTTAGCAACTTTCATTTGGGGATAACCCTTACAAAAAATTAGTAAAATTAGAGATCATTTAATCATCCAAAAACATCAAATAAATGGACGGTTTATCATGAATGTGTTACTTGGTACCTACACCGTCAATTTGTTGTATACATTTGTATGACTAATGATCTCCGATTACAAAAAAGGAATGCAAGTATGTTATTCTCAATGTGGAATGATCTCCGATTACAAATGATTTTCTGTATGAGTGACCTTCAAATGAGATTAAAAAATTGAATGATTTTGATTACCAAATATTTACGATTAAGGTATGTTATTCTCAATGTGGAATGAGCTCATCCCCAAAGAGGAATGCAAGTATTATCCTATTGCAAAAACGCTAATTATTTCTACAACCATATTTCGAAAGTGAAATTCACTTATTTTTGCAAAAAAAAAAAAAAAAAAAAAAGATCACATTATTAAAGGCCCGTTTGAAAAGCATTTTTAAATAACTGAAAACACTTTTTAAGTAAATATTTTGGAGTTCAAAAGTACTTAGAGTGCTTCATGCAATAAACACAAATTTAATGATTCTTACAAAAATACTTTAAGTGACTTTTGAAGTTAACTCTTAGTAAAAATATAAATTAATTTTAGAAAAAGGGTAAATTACACTTTCATACCTCAGGTTTGGGCTCTATTTCAATTCCTTACAACATCCTTAAAACACATAACTTTCATACCTTAAGTACTATTTTATTTCAAAATAATACCTCCATTACATTTTTCATCCATTGATCCGTTAAATGCTGATGTGGCTGCCACATATATGCCACGTGGCTGCCAAATGTCTGCCACATGGCAAAAATAATAAATTTTAAATTTTTTTAAAAAAAACCTGATTTTTTACAAAAAAAAAAAAATGAACGACCCACATGTGACATCCCACATCGTCTAGGGGAGTGATCCTTATATGTATATTCCCATCCCTACTTAGCACATGGCCTTTTGGGAGCTCACTGGCTTCGGGTTCCATGGGAACTCCGAAGTTAAGCGAGTTTGCGCGAGAGCAATCCCATGATGGGTGACTTACTGGGAAGTTGCTCGTGAGTTTCCAAAAACAAAACCGTGAGGGAATAGTAAGCCCAAAGCAGACAATATTGTGCTACGGTGGTGGAATGGGGCGGGGAAGTGATCCGTCCCGGGCCAGGATGTGACAATTTGTTATCAGAGCCTAACCCTGGCCGTGGTGTGCCGACAAGGACGTCGGGCCCCTAAGGGGGGTGGATTGCGACATCCCACATCACCTAGGGGAGTGATCCTTATATGTATATTCGCATCCCTACTTAGCACGAGGTATTTTGGAAGCTCACTGGCTTCGGGTTCCATGGGAACTCCGAAGTTAAGCGAGTTCACGCGAGAGCAATCCCATGATGGGTGACCCACTGGAAAGTTGCTCATGAGTTCCCAAAAACAAAACCGTGAGGGAATGATAAGCCCAAAGCGGACAATATCGTGCTATGGCAGTGGGTTACCCAACATGGGATTGTTCTCGCATGAACTTGCTTAACTTCGGAGTTCCCATGGAACCTGAAGGCAGTGAGCTTCCAAAAGTAATTGTCACATCCCGGCTCGGGGCGGATCATTTCCCGGGCCCACTCCACCATCGTAGCACGATATTGTCCGCTTTGGGCTTACCATTCCTTCACGGTTTTGTTTTGGGAACTCACGAGCAACTTCCCAGTGGGCCACCCATCATGGGATTGCTCTCGCGCAAACTCGTTTAACTTCGGAGTTCCTATGGAATCCGAAGCCAGTGAGCTTCCAAAAGGCCTCGTGCTAAGTAGGGATGGGAATATACATATAAGGATCACTCCCCTGGGTAATGTGGGATGTCACACACATCTGCAAGAAGAAGAAGAAGAAGAAGAAGAGGGAGGAAGAAACAAAAAATTGAAACTATGTGACCTACATCTGCAAGAAGAAGAAGAAGAAGAAGAATAGGGAGGAAGGGAGGAAGGAAGGAAGGAAAAAAAAAAGAAAATTGAAACTATCCCTCCTCCCCCAGCGACCCACATCTGCAAGAAGAAGAAGAAGAGGGAGGAAGAAGGGTAATTTTTTTTTTGAGCGACCTGCATCTGCAGTAGGAAGAAGAAGAGGAAAATGAGGGAGGAAGAAAAGGAAAAAAAAAACCAACCGCCCTCCGCTAGGAGCCTCCTCTCGCGACCCTCCCCCGGGCGTCCCCTCCTCGCATCCCCCTTCCTCGGCGCCGCGACCTTCCTCCCGTCCCACCCCCTCGGGCGCCGTGACCTTCCTCCCGTCCCACTCACCCCCCCACCCCCCCCAAAAGATATAAAATTCCTACCAAAATAACTGGACGTTCCAACCAATAAAAACCCTAATGAACCTAAAAAAAGAATAAAGGCCCAACAGAAATTACTTGTTTTTCGAGACCCCGCTATAAGTTCTACCCATATACGTTCTGATCGCCAACTCATACTCTAACTAGACCTAGTTGCATTTTATTGGAATTGGGAGAATAACAAAAATAATTTTTTTTTTTTTACTTTTTTTTGTTTCCGAAGTAACTCTCATCAACCAGCACTATTATGATGTGAACCTTTAGGGATAATTCATCGAATTTCTTAGATCCAAACTAAAATAATAACATCCCTTTCATATGATTTCCTAATACATATAGATATATTGACTTTACATTTCAGAAATTCTCCCCGATCCCGATCTATTTGAAAATAGTTATAATTCATTTATCATGTTTACACATACATAAGAGCTTATGCCCGAAGGAAGCCGCATATTATACCATATTTTACTAAATAGATATCCGTGTTATGATCCAAGTAAGTTTTGAAAATGCTAATACTTTGAGTTTGAGATGATTTTTGAACTCATTTTATGGTAGATGGGATTTTCGGGGGTGGGTGATGAGGGATTTTTGGGAGGAGTGGCTCGGGTGGGATTTTGGGGTTTTTTTCTTTCTTTCTTCTCCTTCCTCTTCTTCTTCTTCTTCTTGCAGATGTGGGACCTTGGGTTTTCATTTTTTTTTTTTGTAAAAATTCAGGTTTAAAAAAAAAAAAAAAATTATTATTTTTGCCCACGTGGCAGACATTTGGCAGCCACGTGTCATATATGTGGCAGCCACGTCAGCATTTAACGGATCAATGGATGAAAAATGTAATGGAGGTATTATTTTGAAATAAAATAGTATTTTAGGTATGAAAGTGAAATATTTTAAAGATGTTGTAAGGAATTAAAATAGAACCCAAACCTGAAGTATGAAAATGTACTTTATCCTTACAAAAATAACTTAAGCCTGGTTTGGTACTGAGGTGATTTTGAAAAAAGCTGGTATAAAAAAAAGCTGGGAGTTGTTTTTGCGTTTGGTAAACATTCAACTTCAGTTTTTTTTCACAGTTTTGGGTGGAAAAAAGCCAAAAACAAGAAGTTGCAAAACCCAAGTTCGAAAAATCGATTTTTTTTTCACATATGTTTTATATAAAAGTTTATCAAACATTATAATACTGTTTTTTTTTTCAAAAGAACTTTTACAAAAAAGTTTACCAAACACTCTACTGCTTTATTTCACAGCTGCTTATTCTCATAGCACAACAAAAACAATTTTTTTTTAAAGCACATCAATATCAAACCAGCCCTTAGAAGCAGTTCAAGTAGCACAAACACATGGAAGCACTTCGAGTGAAAAGAGAGTTAATTCTGATAAAAGCACATACGAAGAAGCTGTATCAGCGACTGAGCTGCGAACATAACTTTTAGCGTTGAGAAGTGCACATTCAAATTATATGCCCTTTTCCGGCCTTCACTTCTCAAAAACATGAACGACGACGACAGTCTCCACCACGATCTGGATCCACAAAGTGACCACAGCTCCGATTACCTCCCTCACCCCCACCCCCACCATTCGTCCCATCCTATCCAACCCCAACAATCCCACCCTCAGCCCCAGCCCCAGCCCCGCCGTCCCCGTGGCTTCGCCGCCACTGCGGCTGGCTCAGCGGGTCCCACCAGTCCCTCCTCCACCCCCACCACTAACAAGGGCAAGAGGGAGAGGGAGAAGGAGAAGGAGCGCACCAAGCTTCGAGAACGCCTCCGTCGATCCATCACTAGCCGGATGCTCGCCGGCCTCCGCCAGTACGGTAACTTTCCGCTGCCTGCGCGTGCGGACATGAACGATGTGCTCGCAGCCCTCGCACGTGAGGCTGGCTGGGTCGTCGAGCCCGATGGCACCACTTACCGCCACGCTCCTCCTCCCTCCCAAATGGTCCGTACATCCCATTTCTAAGTAATTCATTCTTTTATTTTCGGAATTAGGGTCAATTTAAAGGACTCAAAGTTTGTAGAAAATGGTGACAGGCAGCGGCGTACCAGAGCCCCATGGGGATGAGGTCGGTGGAGAGCCCAGTTTCATCAGGAGTAAAAGCAACGAACCCATCATCAATGGCGAGAATTGATGAGAGCTTGTCACCGGCATCCCTTGATTCTGTAGTAATTGCAGAGAGAGACACCACAGCCACAGCCACGGCCACGGTCACTGCCGCCACCAACAAATCCGTTGAATGCTTGGAAATGGAGGCTGGTGATCAGCTCATGCATCACCTTTCCAATTCCATCAGTTCCGGGGACCATGGCATTCCCACCACTGCCTTGGCTTATGTTCCTCTCTATGCTGCCCTTGCCGTGAGCCAAATTTTCAGTCTTTTTTTCGCGTTGCATTTTGTTTTCGTTGCTTATTGTCTGATTCTAAGAGAAACCCATGTTCCCTGTATTTTCATATTTTGGTAAAATTTGGTTTTTTAAGTGATACAATTCTTGGGGCTTGTTTTGCAGACTGGGTTCATCAACAGTTACTGTCAGTTGGTTGATCCTGAAGGATTGAGACAGGAGCTAGCTCATGTGCAATCTCTGAATATAGATGGCGTTGTTGTGGATTGTTGGTGGGGGATTGTCGAAGGCTGGAGCCCCCAGAAATATGTCTGGTCTGGTTACAGAGCTCTTTTTAACATTGTCCGGGAGTTCAAGCTCAAATTGCAGGTACCTCTCCCTGACTTATGTTACCCATTCTTATAGCCTATACCGTTGGAGCTAGGTTTTGCCTACGTGGCTCATTAAAATGGGTTTGCCTACTCCATTGGAATTTGGAGATGCTCTAAGGACATATGTAGAACTATAGTATCTGCTAGATTATGAGTTCAAGACATTTCAAATTAGTAAGCTTAGGAAAGCACAATTTTATGAATAAAAAACGATTGAATTAAGCTTAATGAAGCTATGGGAAGACCTACGAAAATATTTTTTATTTTCAGTGCCTTTCCTTATGAACTTATTTATTGCTGTCTCAAGTTTTCTTGAACACATTGAGTGGTTGAAAATACATCGCTACTTGTACCATTTAGTTTTATGTCTTCCTACGCAATCTACTGTGGTGTCAAACAAGGGAGACTGTATTTTGTTAAGATGCATTATTGTTACTTTCTAATCTTGTAACTTAAGAGTTTTTTTTTTTTTTTTTTTTTAACACTTCATATGCTATATTAGAGCATCTGACATTCTGTTGACGAGTAGTTTCTGAAATCATTCTTTTGAAGGTTGTAATGGCATTTCATGAGTATGGAAGAAGTGACTCTGGTGACGCCCTCATCCCTCTTCCACAATGGATCTTAGAAATTGGTAAGAAAAACCCAGACATATTCTTTACAGATCGAGAAGGAAGGAGGAACACTGAATGTCTATCTCTGGGGATTGATAAAGAAAGAGTTCTACAAGGAAGAACTGGTGTCGAGGTATGTAAATATGTACAGAATGTTGAGCTGCCTTTTAGCTTGGAACATTAAACTATTCCATCCACATTTTGTTTTGATTTACTTCATCATATATTATGTCCTCCACTGTGTGCCTCTGTACCATTTCTTCTTTTATGGTGAATTGATATATGTGTGTGTGTATATATATATATTTTTTTTTTATCCCTGTTCTGTCTGGCCTTGTTTTAAGTTGAAATTTCTTTACCTTTTGTCTGTGTTGTTCAATTGTCTCTCTCTTTATATATATATATATATATATTTTTTTTTTTTTTTTATCCCTGTTCTGTCTGGCCTTGTTTTAAGTTGAAACTTCTTTACCTTTTGTCTGTGTTGTTCAATTGGTTTCTTTATGCAGGTCTATTTTGATTTTATGAGAAGTTTTCGTACTGAGTTTGACGACTTGTTTGCTGAGGGTCTCATTTCTGCTGTGGAAATTGGACTTGGAGCATCTGGGGAGCTCAAGTATCCTTCCTTTTCAGAAAGGATGGGGTGGAGGTATCCTGGTATCGGTGAGTTTCAGGTATCCGTTAAATCTAAACCATCCCATCCATTTGTCTCTTTTCTTGGAGGAGCTAATTGTATATCCATTTAGAGTCTTTCTGTCCCCATATTCTTCAGGTTAAAATAGATGAGATAAAGAAATAATTATTTGAAAGTACTCTCTCTTTTCTCGAACTATTTCCCTCTTTGCATATATTGTAGTGGCGATGTTTTTAGATAGTTTGTGGCATTTATTTACCATTGGTTCTTGAAGAAGATTGCTCCTTCATGCTCCTTCAAATTGTAGACTCGCATTGCAATTGTGTTGAATAACATTTGATCTCTTCTTTGCAGTGTTATGATAAATATTTACAAGAGAGTCTGCAGAGAGCTGCTAAATTGCGTGGGCACTCATTCTGGGCCAGGGGACCTGAGAATGCTGGGGAATACAATTCTCGGCCACATGAAACTGGCTTTTTCTGTGAACGTGGTGATTATGATAGTTATTATGGACGCTTTTTCCTTCATTGGTATGCACAGTCATTAATTGATCACGCGGATAGTGTACTGTCTCTTGCAAGCCTTGCCTTTGATGAAACCAAATTAATTGTCAAGGTATGTATCTGGTCTATGCCCCACCCTTTACTGTCTGTGCTAGATGGTGTTATGTTCTCTTCACTTCTCGTCTTTCTAAATTTCATTTTTCTTCTGGTTTTACTCCTCTGATTAGCAATATTATACTAACAGTGCATTTAGATCAAAAGGAAAAATAGGCAGGACCATTGTGGTTCCTTTGTTTTAGTGTTTAATAGGGCGGAGTTGATTGTCTATAAAGGAATTTGCACTCCATTATGACCCCAATTTTGTGTTAGAACTTATCAGTGGAAAGGAAGGGTTGATAGAATGTAAAAATCTGTTGTAAATTTTCTAATTTCTAATTCCACGATCAACTTCCGAGAGAGAAGTAAATAAGTTGGATAACATATTGATCACTACAAGAAACTTTGATTCCTTCTGTTTCTGTATAACATCCAGTGAAATGAAGTAATCCTTCTGTGACACCATCTATGTTCCAAAGAAAATCCATAATTTTGTTATACATTCATGGGACAATGAATTTATCTTCCTCTTCCTTTGAATGTGCTTATGACCAGCACAGGACACTGAAACCAAAAAAACAAAGAGTGATATGTAAACGATAGAACTTGAAAGGCTGAAATTTTACCTTTAAACTATATTTTATGATGTTGTGGAAAGTCGGGTTTTTAACTGTTGGATAAGGATAATCTTTCACTTTCAGTTTCATCGCAAGCACGCATGTGTGGAAGTCTTTGAACATTTGGTTCATGATTCCTTAAAAAACTCTCTGGTTTCTGTCTGTCTACATGATGTTAGGTATAAAATGCAGATTATGCATGATTAGGATTTGTTAAATCATTCCTTTAGTCTTATAAGGGTGCGTTTGTTTGGGCTCACCAACTCTCCTTGGACTGGACTAGCTATTATTGTAGTCCCATGTTTGTTAGGCTGAAGGATTAGGTTTAATAGGATTAAGTCTGACTCTCTCACTAAAAGTTCTTAGCCAGACCCCCCAAATATCCTAGGACTGCTAAGACCCCCGCGCTGCTTCGTTTGGCTCGTCCAAACCTTGTGCCTCGTTCGAACTTACAAGATCTCAATCCTCGGAAATAAGGATTTTTTGTCATCTGGGTCGGTGATTTGGGGTCTTCCATCATCTGGGTCTTTTGGCATCTCAGATCTCGCACACACACACATCGCTCTCTCTCTCTGTCTCAGAAACGCCCTTAATTTTCTCACTTACCAACCACCCTGCTTCTGCTGATTCTTCCCCCGCCAGTCTCGTTCAGTCGCTGGAATTCAATTTCCGACTCTGTCGTTTTCAGCGGACCATGATCTGAATCCGATATTGCAGACAAGGTGAGCAATTATTTGGAATTGGGGATTTTGAAAGTTGTTTGGTTGGTGAGAAAATTGAGAGAAGGAAACAAAAGAAAATGGAATGGCAATTAGTAAGAACTGGGGAATTGCATCAAAGGAAATGGGATTTTGAAAGGTGTATTTTTTTGCAAACGGATTCCATGAAAGCAACAGATGTTCAGGCCAAGCTTGATGAAGGAAACAATCAAGAGGCAGAGAGGATTGATGTTACGGATGTTAAAAAAAGGGAAGTTGAGAGGCAGAGAAGATGGAGCATTCTAGAAAAAGGGTTTCTAGAAGGAAAAAAAAGAAAGGAATAATTAATTATAAAAAATTCTAGATATGCATTAAAATAATATAATTTTAGAGTTTGTTAGTTATGCTGCTTGTTAGTCCGACACTGCACCAAATGCTTCACTAAATCAGTCTAGCTTAGTCTAGTCTAAGCGAGTCTAGCTTAGTCTCGAAAGTTAGTCTAGTCCGAAATAGTCCGGTGCAACAAACGCACCCTAAATGGTTTACAGATTTGTCATGTTCAGTGTAGTCCTACACTAGCGTCCCACCTAGAAATGGCCATAAAGATTAGTTACATTGAGAAATCCCAGCATCAAACCTGGAAGTAGTATAGTGATTGGTTGTATTTAAATTGTCTGATGTTCATTAACATTGTTATTACGTATAATCATGTGTACCTAGAACTGAATCAAGGGGTGCATGGTTGTGATGTTTTTCTTAAAGTGCTCTATGGTGAACTTGTTACATAATGAAAAATTAATTAAAATATGCCAATGGGTAGGTTCCTTCAGTTTTTTGGTGGTATAAGACTACTAGCCATGCAGCGGAGCTAACTTCTGGGTACTATAACCCAACAAACCAGGATGGGTACTCTCCCGTTCTTGAAGTTCTGAAGAAACATTTAGCGACGGTGAAGTTTGTTTGCTCAGGTCCGCATATTTCTATTCAGGATAATGAAGCACTGGCTGATCCGGAAGGTTTGAGTTGGCAGGTAAAGGCCCTTGCTGATATCCCTTCTCTTTGGGCTCTTTAACTGTTATAGTGTGAACCACAAAACGTATGTTTTTAGATGTAACGTCTAATTGAATCGTAAGAATATGAGAATCTCCTTCATAAATTATTGGAAACCAACCTGTCGAATTCACATTTTACTTGATCTTCAGTTTCTAAGTATTACCCCTAGAGTTTCCTGGTGTTTGAAAAATTGAAAGGCACATATTAAGTATTAAAGTAGGCAGTTTTTCAATATAATGTTTGATTATGTGGATATGTATGTCTGTAATCAATTTGTGTGATGCTAGATTCTCATTTGTTTCTACAGGTTTTAAATTTAGCCTGGGATCGAGGATTGACTGTAGCTGGGGAAAATGCACTTTCATGTTATGATAGAGAAGGGTGCATGAGAATAGTTGAGATGGTGAAGCCAAGAAATGATCCTGATCACCACCACTTTTCATTTTTCGTATACCAGCAGCCATCTCCTCTAGTTCAAGGCACAATTTGCTTTCCTGAGTTGGATTTTTTCATTAAGTGCATGCATGGTAAGTATTCTCACACAGCAATGAGAGATTTGGTCAGAAAAATTCAATTTGGTGGTGTTTCTTGATAAATTTGATGGGTGTTCATGTTTTCTGATAAGTTTTTTTGAACGGTGATGTTTGAACCACTAGAAAATGCCTTTCATACTTTCTTGCGGCCCTAAAAGAATAATGTCAAAAGTGAGTGGGTTAAGTCAAGATAACTACCCAACCTTTAGGGGTGATTCCAAATTGGTGCCTAAATCCTAATCTTTTAAAACACTCCAAATGACTGCCTAACGTTTTGAATTAACTGATGACATGGACAAATATTAAAGCCTGTTTAACTCTCAAGTCATCTATGGAGCTTTGAATCTCCAAATCGACGCATTTTAGCCAAGCAAATTTACGGTTTAACTTCGTTAAAAGGGGTTGACTTGAGGAATTAGAGCTCCAAAGAAAGCACTTAGTGAAAATCAACTGTATCATCTGTCCACCTCATCATTTAAGGCTAGTAACGTCATCACTTAATGTTGGTAAAGTCATCACTTATTGCCGGTGATCCAACATGTCTAATTTTCAAAACGTTAGGTAGTTATTTGGAATGTTTTAAAAGGTTGAGACTAATTTGGAATCACCCCAAAAGGTTGGGTAGTTATCCATACTTAACTCAATGCATCATTATTAACAAAATACTGCGCTGACAACATGAATTTGAAATGTGCTGTAGGAACACCATGTAATGGTTTTTTTTTGGTTTCTTGCCAATTAGACTGCACTGAAATTGCCCATTTTCTAGTGTGGACAATTCTAAATTCTAAGAAGCATTTTTCTTTGATTTGTAATGACTCGCATTGGTAACTTTGTGACCTACAAACATTGTTACATAATTTTCTGTGATTGCCAAAGATACAGAAAGGAAAAGGCGTGATTGCCCCTAAAATGCATCACATATTACGCTTTTGGCTTGATTTACGATAATCTTCTTGTTGAGCAATTATATGGATGATTGGACACACTTCATCATAGTGCTCTTCCTAGCTATAGCTTTTCCCTGATCATGTTTGAGTTTACCTTTAGCGGCAGTTGCTAATATCTGTATTTCCCTATTTTTGGGTAAATCTGTGTATCTGGTTTTTAACCCTTATGTTAGCTTGTAATGGTGTATAAATTTCATAAAGAAAAGATCAGCGTTAATCTTACAACGATTTTGCAATTGTGTTTTTCAGGTGAGAGAGCTGAAGATCTAGTATCGTGTTAAAGGGTAGAATTCAGTATTCCATGGGCGGATTGTTAGAACACCTGGATGGACTTCTCAACTGCTGATGGCTCATATCTTCCAAGGTGAAATGAAATAGTGAACATGATGGTTTCGGGGGTAAAAGCACCAGCAGAGGGTTCAAGAGTCTCATAAATATGTCCTTAGGTTTGATATAATTGTGGACCGGACCAAAGAAAGATGTAACAACATAAACTTCATTGTGTGGTGTCGTCCAACTCGTGTGTCGAATGATGCCGGTGCAGTTTCAGATTAGAAAATGAAAAGGGTAGTTGGTATATAGTTCAAAGTCAGATGTAATGAATGATATGTTTGTAATTCCTTTCGCTGCATATTAGTATGAAAAGAAAGATCGGCGGCGATGCGTTTACTCCAAATTAATGGAATGGAATTGTCTTTTGAACTATCGTCCTAACATTTCTCCTGTATTTCACTTCTTATTCGCCTAAAAGTGCAGTTGTAAATGGTCACTACTGGGAGGCAACTCTTTCCCTTCTTGATTTAGCTTCATTCATCTAGCAGTATTCTATACATACATACAATACAGTTCGAACGACTACGGCCATTTGCAACTGTAATCGAGGTTCTATGTTCGGTTGTACCGGAGATTCTACGTTCGATGCATGCACCTGAGGTTCTGTGCTCGGTTCAGGTACAAAATCACTTTGTATCAAAAAGTATAAAACGAAAGGAACCCAAGAAGAAAGGCCTAACAAGGAAGCCAGCAAAGGCATGGCAGGCCGAAATAAAGCCTAGTCCCCAATAAAGCATCCAAAAAGCCCAAGGCTAAGTAAAATTACCCCACTAAAGAAGTAGGGTTGGGATTTTTTAGAAGTACTTTTAAAATTAATAAAATCGTTTATGGATTTTAAAAGCACTTGAAGTGTATTTTGGAAGAAGTACCAGTAATGTATTTCTTACAGGAAGCACTTTGAGCTTTCTTTCAGAACTCACTTGTATTTTTACTGAGAATCGGTTTTAAAAGCATTTTCATCAAAACACTTTTAAGTCATTTTAAAAACATTTTCAAACCACGTCTAACACATGATATACGATTGTACAAAGCTTTTAGGTACGAATATAACTTCACATCGTTCGATCTCCACCTCACATATAAACAGTGGTACACTATACATTAAAGGACGACAACAATGACACCATATACAAAAGTTGAAAGCGGTCGGGGAGATTCAATAAGGCTGACATTTTCGTGCCACTTTACACCCCAGAGTCTACCATGCAATAAGGAAATTTAATGTGACTTTTGCCCTCGTTAAACACACTTTCAAAAGTTCAATACCTTTGATTCTTTGAAGGATCAAAGTAAAAAAGTTCCGAGAAAAATATAAAATTAACCCAAATATATTTATTTAAAAGTCAGTTGTATCCCATATTAATTAATATGCCCTTTTCTTAGTCCTAGGGTATGTTTGGACGAGGATTTACAAGACCTAAGGAATCGATGTCAAGTTATGAAGAAATGGATCACAAAAATGTGACATAGAGGGAATTTGAGAAACCCTCTATGAGCAATGCAAAAGCTTGTGTAAGTGCTTTGTAGATGACACCCCCAAGTAGGGTTTTGCAAATCCCTCCTACATGCTTTTGCAATGCTTGGGATCTCACTGTTAAATGTTCTAGTTTTTTAGATACAAACAGAGCGGGAAGCACACAAAAAAAAAAAAAATTTATTCAGTGAGGCGTTTCATTGAACATTTAGTGAGCTATTGTTGTCAGCAACACTATGTTGGGTATATGTCAATAAATATCGACATATGCCGAAGCAATCTAATGGGTGATATCAAGAGAATATGTCAAGTGCTGTCAACGCAACCTGTCAAGATATGCTATCATGCATTACCTCAAACACTTGTTGATCACAAAAAAAACTTGTACCAAACATTCAAAAAATACTCAAAAAACCTTCACATATATATTTTTTAAACTCAATGTAGTCTTGAGACCACGTTGATCCAATATACATCCGCCCACGCCTAGAGGTGCATTACTAACTATTAAACTTTGATACGACATCATTTAGTCTTGTTTTTTCATGTCATGGATTTTGAGATAACAACGTGTAGCAAATTCTGGTTCACATGATATGTTGGTGGCAATGGCATATTGGCATTAGTCCAAGCTTATCCATACTTTACTTACGTGCTTATCACAAATTCCTTATAATTATGATGATCATATGACTCGTAACGTTGCATCTTTGGTTAATACTGGAGTAATGTGTCTAGGTCCATTGATTAATTTGAGACTGTGATGGCGCATAAGCAGATATGGTCTGGTTGGTATTTCGATGTTTCTTATGTCCGTTAGCTCTGTTTGATATCTCCGAAATTCAGAAGAAAATGATTTCCACACCTTATTTACTCGCCCTACAAACTGTGCTTATGGTGAAAGTAAGTGTGTATAAACATTTCTCTATGTATAATAGTTTGCGGGAAAATTAAATATAAGCCAATTGTGGTTGGAAAAGTATTTTAGATCCATATTCCACACGGCACGTCCTGAATTCGATTATTGGCGCTGGTTAATCACACAACGAGTGGCCAGGAGAGGCTACAATGCCTCTGTGAATTTTTTTGACCTGCAGAAAGATGAGTTGCCGTGACAAAGATACCAACTAGTCCCCTTTTGAGAAAAAAATTTAATTATTTTCCCCTATTATATATCAAGACATGCATGAGCTTTATGTTGATGAAAATGCCTCCCCATTGGAGCCAATAATTCAAATGTCTTTGTCCGACCACAAAACTCAAAATTGGCCACCGTGCTGCTGTGCGTCCGCATTCAATTCCATCCAAAACAGCAAAGATGAGACTTACATGACCAGCCAACTATGATTGGTGTCTCTAAACTTTCGTTTTCATATCCCTAGTGGATATGTTAAATTCTTTCTCATCACTAATTTAAGTTGAATCTTATCCCACCAATAATTCGAAAGTAATGGCTGACTAGCTACTTGTTTGTTTCTTTGCTCATGCTTCAATTATACGATTGAGGGTTCGATGGTTTTGCTAATCTAGGGTATCGTTAGTGAATGTTGTATTTGATTACGTAATTTAATTTCCTCAACTATAGTTTTTGGAACTGTTATTTGCTATGTATGGTTATAGAATCCGTAAATTTGAACTACATGGTAATAAATCTGAACTACTATTAATAAAACTATCTTTGTCAACTAAAAGAGGGTGAAAAGACAATTTAGTCTTTTACCACAATATAAAATCATGGGTAATAAAATAAATTCATACAAAAATAAATTTCACAGTTTTTTTTAAGGTCTCATCCATAGACGACCCTAAAGGAATTAGATACGCTCCGGACTTTAGTGTCCAGAGCATGAGGATCAACTAATTTGGGCCGCACAAATTGAATCCAACAGTTTCCATTAACTCATTTTCCTGGCCCATCACACATAAACCAACAACTTTGATTTTTTTTACACACCAATCATCGGCCTAAATGGATTGATCTTTAACTCCGAACACTAAGGTCTGGAGCGGATCCAATTCTGACCCTAAACATCATCTGATTTAAAAAAAATTAAAATTGAGAGGTGTTATTCCCACCCAATGTCTTATCTTTCCACCCACCTTTTTATGAATTTTTTAATTACAAATTTTTCCATTTGTAAAATGACTAATAAGGACCTTAGTTACCTCCTTTTGCATTACTTTTTTTTTTATTTATAAAAAAGAAAAAAGAAAAGTTTAGGCATGATAACTCTCGCACTATGTTTAGAAAATTTGTCTCCCTTAAATCCTAACTCATCATTCCCATCTCCTTTCATTTAGAGAAAGCAAAATCATTCAGAGAAAGTAAAAAGAATGAACTTAGAAGATGACGTTTCTATGGAAGAAGTAGATGATTATGTTTCCGTTGAAGAGGTAAAAGATAATTTTATGTGGGTCATCTTGATTTGTCGACATCGTACAATTGAAGCATAGCTCTGTGACTTTTTATTTGAATTTGCATTAGGTTAGGGTGCAATTTGTTTCATGTTATCCTAGGAGAATTCCTGGAATTCGTTTTCATTAGGTTAGGGTAAATTTGTTTACAGAAGCCAATTCCCATATAGAGCGAAGGGTCCAGCGAGGCAATAGCGAGGGCAGGGGACACCAGCGGCGTCACAATCTTGCTAGCGTTGCTGCATTGTGGTGACGACCGCTCGTCGTCTCTCTGTTGCTGCTTCTGCTGTTCCTTTTTGCTAACATCTCGCCGTTTCTCTACAGGGTGGTTCTACTGCTGCTGTATTCGAGCGGCGGCGTGTAGGGTGTAGGCGCAAGTGGGGCTGGGGCTGGGGCCGATGCTCTTGTACAAAGGAGGCGTGGGGGCTGGGGCCGATGCCTTGTTATCGTTCTAAGGGGGTTGTTCTTGCTGCTGGGCTCTAGCGAGGATCAGACAGCTGGGATCGAAGGAAGTGAAGATTCCAGAGACATGGTTTTGGGGAGATCGAGAAGGGAGAAAGGGTTTAGGATGAGATTACATGTAGAAGAACAACAACATTGGGGGTTAGGGTTTGTGGGTTAATTTCGTTTTTGGTAATTTAGAGTGAGAAACACAGAGGGGAGAGGAGAGAGAAGAAGAAGGGCATGGAGGAGGAGGTGGGACCAAAAGCTCCAAACCACTGTTCACATATCACTTTGAACAAATTAACCAATAACTTACAAAACTAGAATGAACCCAAAAAGTAAAAATGTGCGACAAAGTAAGAGAATCTCCAACGTATGTGGCAACAATGGAAAATGCATATGAAAAAGAAAACAAAAGGGGAAAAACAAAGAATGAAAACCCAGAATTCTTCATTCCCACCCCAATTGGAATTTGGAAAGGAAACGGTATTTTTTTTTCTGGCTTTTAGAAGGGAGTAATATTATTTGTTTATATTTTTTTTAAGAGAAATTTATCTCTAATTATATATAGGCTTATTTTAGGAATAATAGTGGGTGGGAAAATAATATTTTAATATTTTAACTTTTTATAATGGGTGTAAATATAACGTGGGTGGAGAAATAAGACAACGAGGTGAGTCTAGCAGCTTTCAAAAAATTTCTCCCACCAATTCCACATTTCTCTTTTTGTCCCTCTAGTAAATGAATCAATGATTCCAACTCTCCCAATTAGATGTTATTTTAACGGGTTATGTCGTGTCAAACTTGCTATTGTAATGAGTTCTTAACATGTGACCTAATAACAACCCTGATTCGTCAACGGGTTGTGTCGGGTTAACGAATCATACAAAAATTATCATACTTAATATCTAAATCTGACAAACGATATATTATTAGGTTATTAACAGGTGACATGATAACGACCTAACTCGATAACGATTTCTTAACGAATGACTCAACAATGACTCGACTTGTTAACAAGTTAACTCGAAACCAA